CTGAACCAGGGAAGTCCCCATAATGCCAATTATTCCTGGCCGCGTTTCCTTCTCCCCCATCCCGTCCCAGCCTGCTGATGGCACATGGTCACCCCCAGGGGCGTTTTCCAGCGTCTTTCAAAGCAGGATTTGGAAAAGGGGAGCCAATTGGGAATTTGGAAGAAAAAAAGAATAAGATGTGGTGATGAGGCTGAGAACTGAAACCCTGGTCCCCAGTTTCTCATCTTTTCTTTAACCCCTAACCTGCTGTTGGGGAGTTTCCAGAACAGAAAGTGGTTACAAATTCAGACTTTCCGACCCTCCTCTGCACCAGCGTTGATGTGCTCAGAGAAGGCGCACTGCATCTTTGCCCCCACAACCCCAGTCAACATTTCCTGCACACCTACTACGTGCCAGGCTCTGAGCTGGGACACCACGCACAGCCATACAGATCACATCCTGCCCTCAGGCTGCTCAGCGGGCTCCGTCTTCTGCTATAATTGGGTTTTCCCACCAGCCTCTCCACGCTATGTCCCCAGGGCCTGGCACACAGTGGGAACGCAATAAAAATTCATCAAATGAATGAAGAGTCAGACACCAGTCCCTCCATTCCTAGTTCCAGGACCATCTCTGCTGCAGCTCAGTGGGGACCAACACATGACACCAGCCTGGGGCCCCAAATTTCAAACCACTTTTAACCAGATGCTGACTGTGTGTCAAGAACCTTGTCTGTCCCTTTACATAGTTTTCCTTATTTAATATCTTCAGTATCCTGCCAAGTAGGTGTCATTGCTCTGCATCTCACCAGAGAGAAGACAGAGGCTCAGAGAGGTTAAGTAAGTAGTTTGTGGTCACAGAGCTAGTGAAGAGGACAGCTAGGGTGTAAACCCAGGTCAGGTCCCAAGGTCCTAGTGCTCTCTACTACTGGGCTGCTGTCAGGCTTCAGATCCAGCATGTCCAGAGCCTGCCATTCCTCCCTAGCCCTGCCTGCAGCATCCAGCTCTGAAAGCCCACCCCCATCATAAACTCTGCCTTTATTCCCTGAGCAGACTCTCCAGGAAGTCTCACCTTCCTCCTCTCCCATCGGTCCCCTAACCTGGGTCCCCACCTGCTCATACCTGAGCTCCTGAGCTGGCATCCTCCTCCGTGCATTAACTTCTAAACTGGCCTCAGACCTAGCACCCGATTAATGTTTCTTCAACTTTTTGCTTTCAGGATATCCTTCCCGGCTTAAAAACCTCAACAACCCCTACAATCCAGGAGGCAGCATAACGCTATGGTTAAGGGTTTCAAAGACCATCAGATTCAGGTCCAAATCCTGGCTCTGCTACTTTCATGCCACGTGAGCTCAAGCAAATCCCCCAATGAGCTTTTGTCCCTTAGTTTCCTCTGGTGTAAAATGGGGAATCCTAGCCCAGGATTGCCCTCCCAAATCTCTATAGTCATCAGCACGTGTTTCCCAATGCCACCAGCAATATCAACAAATTTTTTCTCTCTTTCTGCATCTTTGAGCTCCCTAGTTGAGAAACTGGGGTCCCTGAGAACTTAGGCAACCCCAGCTGGTTTCCTTGTAAAGAGCTAGAGGTGAGACCCAACACCTGATTCGGGGCTTGGCACACAGCAGGTGCTCAATAAGTGCTTGTGCGCGGAGGTATGGATTTCACCACTTCCCACTGTGCCTCTCTCCCAGCTGGTGTTCCCCGATGCTGAGAAGCAGGGCTGTGTCAAAGGAGAGCTTCGCCGGCAGGCATTCGGGCCTTGCTGAGAGCGGAGGGATGCAAGGACGGCCCCCTCGGCCCACGTCATCACAGTCTCCCTGAGTAGCGGCTCTACCCCTCCCCTCTGCCCCTGGTTGTCCCCCCACAGCCAGGCTGTACTTTTCATCGGCTGAAGTGCTCTGTTTCCTTAAGTATCCCTCTCAATAGCTTTGGCTTTTGTTAAGCTAAGGAAGTCAATTTTAGTCTTTCCCCCACACTTTACTTCATCCCAGCAGTTTAATTAAAGGAAGTAACATCTGAGAGACCAGATAAGTGAGGGCATCCTTTCGCGAGCAAGCCTCTCCCTACAGGTCCAGGCCTGGGGGAAGCAACTCAATTCTACAAGCACCTACCTGGCCCTTCACAGCGAGGCTGGAGAAGCAGGGAATGTCCCAAATATTGCATGCGACGTATGTACACTAAAAAAAGTATTCGCTCTTTAGCTGGAACTCAGATTTAAATGGTGGCCTGTATTTTTATTCGCTAACTCTGGCAACACTGAGGTCGGGGTATCAACAGCCTCTGGGGGCAACGGTTCTTGGTGGGGGCGTGTAGCGATTTAGTGCTATGGTTTCCAAACTTCAGTTACTCTCCCTTCCCTGAGCTGGGCACCTGTTATTTATGCAGTGCTGTGAATCACCGGCACACATTTACTGCAGCCTCCTCGTAAACATTAACATCCATGAAATCAAAGGTCCGCTGTGCTAATCACATTTCCCCCTAATGTCTGCTGAATGAATCCCTACCCGATCTGTGAGTCAGTGTGGGGTTCATGTGCAATCCACTTGGGGAACAGGTGTGAAGTAAGAGTCACACTCTGGAAACCCCAACTTAATGGCGGGGGTACGTGAGCCCATCTTCCCCATCTCTTTCCATCCTCTCCTATCTTTCTTCTTCAGAGCCTGTTTTAAAACTGAAGGTCTAGATGGGGCTGTCTCCACGCAGCCCTCTGCAGCATCTGAGTTAGTCTGAGTGACTCCCATTTCTGTGTCCAGCTCTCTCTCTCATTCCCTCTACTTGTTGGAAAGCTTCCCGAGGTCCGGGAGCCCGGTCAGAACAGGCGTCTGCATGTTCACTGTCATTCAGAATTCACAAGCCACGTTCAAATAAATCCAGCGTCTCACGTGCTGCTCACAGCAGCCCCAGGCCAGCAGGCTGTGGAGTCCCGTCCCTACGGTCCAACAGAAAGATGCCCATCGTTCTGAAGCCAGGCAGCCATGACACAGTGGCTGTGCGGTCCTGCACAGCTCAAGTACACTCCTCGTCTGTAAAAGGCATATGATACCGCCCGCTTTTTCCAGGTCTCTGAGAAGCAAGTGGGACCACTCCGCACAGAGCCTGACACTCGAGAGGCTTTCGAGAGATTTTCATTCACTTCCCTTCCAAATGGTGGGGACAGGTTGACATGTCAACTTGCTCAAGGTCATGGTCACACGTGGACGGTGAGCCAGCATTTGAGCCCAGCCTCTCCCCTATTCTCCCCCAACCCTGTGCCACCTTTATCCCACATAGTGTCTGGCACGCAGGAGGCATTTAGTAAACGGGAAGGGACTGCAGAGACTCCTCCTCTCTACTCTCCCAGGCTCACTTCCACTCACTTCCCCCTTTTTTTTTTTTTAAATTTACGGAGCACAGGCTCCGGACGCGCAGGCTCAGCGGCCATGGCTCACAGGCCCAGCCGCTCCGCGGCATGTGGGATCTTCCCGGACCGGGGCACGAACCCGTGTCCCCTGCATCGGCA